CAAGTGACGCTTTTGTAAATGGTGATCAAATAATGATGCTGCACACACAGAACCATGCATCAAAGTGCAAACAAATTCTGACTCTAGACAGGTGCATCATTTGGTCATGCCGTATGTTCTTGAACTTTTTGAAGAAGCTTTAGAAAAACTGAGACACTTTTATTCATGGTACTCTTTCAAACTTTCACATTTTATTTTTTACATTAATACTTGGGGCAAATCCTTGAGTAACGCATGGTAAATAATTTCTTGTTCTGAAATACTGACTGTAGTTTTTATACAATCATATTACATATCTTTCTTTTGTTTGGTTTTATTCGATGGCTTTCTATGTGAATTGCCATGTTATGAAACAATGTGAACTATGTTAGAAGCCATGATTCTGTTCTCACTTATTATTTCCTCAAAATAATAATTTTATTGATTTCAAGCAAATCAGCTTTGAATTATAGTCATATAGTTCAGAAACAAATTTGAGATATTTGCAGCATCCTAATTTCTGACTGCACTGAGTTCTGTACTTTCTCACCACATGGCTTCATTATTTTACTTTTTCTTAATGTATTACAGTTTCTTAATTCATGAAACCTGTTTAAAATAAAGGTCTTATAAATATTCAAGTTTTCGGCTTTGCCTTTCTTACTGGTTTTTCAATTGCGCACATGATTTCATGGTATCAGTCTTACTTCTCATTCAAGGCTTTTCATACTTAGGCTGTTCTAATACCCAGAGTCAGCTGTGATTCTAGACCTGTTTTTGGAATTCATTAAATAATGCTGTGACTCTCAGCAATCCTTTCAGCACCTTTCCTCACAGGCAACTGTTTGACAGAAAACTAAACTAATTTAAAATTAGTTTTAGTCTGTAAATGACATTTGCTTCATTTCAAAAACCATCTTGCTGCTTGTTTGAAATTGGCCTTGCGCTGTTATGTCCATGCTGATATGTTAACCCTCTTTACTGGCTTCTGTGCATCCTTTGCATCAAATTTTGGCTCCTCATCATAGACTGAACTGTAAATATTAACTCTAGTCTACCTTTCAGTTCATTGTTTGTAGCTTCCCTTTATTCCACTTCAGAAAGTCACAGAATCATAGAATTCCAGACTGGTTTGGGTTGGAAGGGACCTTAAAGCTCATCCAGTTCCAACCTCCTGCCACGGGCAGGGACATCTTCCACTAGAGCAGGTTGCTCCAAGTCCCATCCAACCTGGCCTTGAACACTGCCAGTGTATGTACTGAGAAATCAGAAAGTTTATATGATTATTGTCTTGCTTTTTTTAAAGAAAAAACAGGTTTCGGTGTCACAATTTTCAAAGGTGAAGGAGAGACACCAAATTGGTGTTTGATGTTCAGAGGCTATTGCTCAAGCCCTTCCCAGAAGTTAGTCTTGTCTGAAATGGGATAGAGTAGGAAATAAAAACAGGAAGGAGCTATAGCTTCAAATAGTAGTAGTAGTAACAGTTGTAATAATAATAATAATAATTAAACCAGGCTATCTGTCTTTAATACATTGAATATATCAGTAAATAACTTCACAGATTCCTTTTCAATCTGAAGTCAATGTTCTCCTTTTGCTTTGGGCTCCCAGTTGCATTCTTTCCACTCCTTTCAATGGTCTATTATTGGTGCAATGAGTCACTCTGTCTGAGCAATGACACATGCCTTAGTGCTACCGCTAAAGTTTGTGCTGTGCTTTTCTTGTAGATTAATCAGGTAGTTCAGCGTCCAAGCACCTTTCAATAGCAGTAAAATCCATATATTATTCTCATAAAAGCCAATTATAACAGCATAGTGTTACTAAAATGTGGCTAGGAACCATGATGCTGCTTGTTGTCGTTACAAAGCACACAGGTCAGTTGGATGCAGATACATTAGAGCTTTATTTCTGCACTCAGAACTACTTCATTTTATCCTCTAATTTGAAATTGCCTGAGGAAGAACCATCTTGTATTGATTAGCTGCTTTTGAAGACAATCAACGCTCTAACAAGTATATGACTCAAAAGTGTCATCAGAATTACCAGGGTATTAAGTACTTTCTTCAGTCTTGAATGTTATGTCAAGTGTCTTCTTCACAGGCTGATGTTCATACATCTCCTTAAGTTCGAGTCCTTTGGAATATCATATTTTGCTTTACTTACGACTTTTTCTTCCTGCAGTGACTACAGTCTCTGAGCTGTGATTTAATACCCTTCACTGGGAGGCTGGGATGTGGTTTGGCCAAGCAATTTCTCCCTCCTACTCAAATAAACCATTAAAAAAACCCCACAGTTTAAGCTTACAATAAACTAATGCTATGTGCCTGGTGAGGGATATTGTAAAGTCTGACTCTGAATTGTCACAGCCACAGTCTTAAAAGAATGATAACTCAGATAAGAATTCGAAGGGGCCTCAATGTGGGTTTGTGTTTGCCACATGCTCTCAGCTCCTAGGGACTGCAGGAGTCAGTTCTGGAAATAAAGAGATGCACCCAACATACTGCAACCACGCCACCACTCCCTGAGTCACCAGGCATTACCTCAGCCCGAATGTCACTTCATAGAATCATAGAATGGTTTATGTAGGAAGGGACCCTAAAGGTCATCCAGTTACAACCCTCTGCCAAGGGCAGGGACACCTTTCACTACAGCAGGTTGCTCCAAGCCCCGTCCAACCTGGCCTTGAACACTGCCAGGGATGGGGCAGCCACAGCTTCTCTGGGCAACCTGTGCCAGCACCTCATCACCCTCACAGGGAAGAACTTCTGCCTCAGAGCTCATCTCAATCTCCCCTCTGGCAGGTTAAAGCCATTCCCCCTTCTCCTGTCCCTACAGGCCCTTGTCAAAAGCCCCTCTCCAGCTTTCTTGTAGCCCCTTTGGGCACTGGGAGCTGCTGTAAGGTCTCCCCTTAAGGAGCCTTCTCTTCTCCAGGCTGAACCAGCCCAGCTCTCTCAGCCTGGCTCCAGAGCAGAGCTGCTCCAGCCCTTCTGTGGTCTCCTCTGGACTCGCTCCAACAGCTCCATGTCCCTCTTGCTTTGGGGGCCCCAGAGCTGACAATCCCATCCCTAGACCCCTACTCACGCTGCTGGTGAGGCAGGACATGGTTGGCTTTCCGGGCTTGGCACTTCTGCTAGGCCAGTGTTGAGCCTTCGGAAAACGCTTCCATCTTTTTAGTTGTCTGCACTAGCAGGCAAATTTGTCACACAATATGGGGTCTGAAGAATTTGACATAATGACAATAACTGGGAGAGTTAACAGGCAAAAACTGGTACTGGATGATGCCTGGGCGTTCAGCTATTGTGGGCAGTCTTTTGTTGTAAAATAGTGAAGGGACAAGGGGTGGAGTTCTGTTGTGTGAGTATATTGTCTCCCTTTGTTGCTGTTGTGATGTTGTGGCTTCAGTTTCATTGTGGGTTTTCTTTTTTGCTTGATGTAAAAGTAAGTCTATGAAGAGTGCGTGATGAATGTGTATTTTAATGACAATTTGCTCAGTAAGACCTGTGATTAACCTACAAAAGGGGATGGGGATGCTGACTATTGAATTTCACCAGTTTGAAGGAACTTTACATGGGCATGATATTCATTTATTGCTTGGAAAACATACAGCACTAACTATTCGGAGTAAAGTAGCATGGCAAAGGAAACAGAAAGCTGGCACTGAAATCTATGAATTTATACCAGTATCAGACTGGTGAGAGGAGAGTCATGGTGATATACCTCCCATTTACAAGCTCTACCCAAACTATAAGCTCCCTCAGCACTTGAAAAGGTCGGAAAAAGAAACTTTGTATGGTTGTCTTTTACTTTCCTCTGCTGTTGACTTGAGTTGTGAAGGTTTTAAGGGGAGTACTGTGCATACATGACTGTGTTGATAGGAATACTGTGCTACACATACTGCTTTGTAAAGGAGTGGCTGCTCAGGGTTTGCACATAGCGATCAAATGGCTGACAGCTCCTCCTGTTTTTCTTTTTTATCCAGGGGTCCAGTGTGAAAGCTGGATTGTGTATACTGAGGTATTGTTGTTGCCTCACAAACATTGAGCTGATGGTATTGATTTTTGGAAAAGATGTTTGGAGCAATAATAAAGTCAAGAATGATGAGGCTTTACAAATAGGCAACAAAAGAACCCACAAAAATTTAGTAAACTCTTGGGCTATTCAACCTTGACAATGTCCTTTTCAATCTGAATCCAATCTTCTTGTGCTTTGAGAAGCCAGCTGCATTTGTTTCCATGCTCACAATGCTCCACTGGCTCAGTGAATCACTCTGACCTGCAGATTGCACTTTTAAGCTTTCACACTCTACAGCCACCCTGGGAGAGTATAAAAAGAAACACATAGGGGAGGATCTAGAGTAAATGACAGAAGTCCTGTTCATCAGAAGGATCTTCTTCTGAAGTCAATGGAAGCTCACAGCGTTGGGGTTGATGTGAAGCTAGACCCCTTATCAGGCTTCAGATGGACCTTCTAAGCACAGATGCTGTCCTTTTGTAGATTTTGGGATTTACAATGCTTGATTTACCCCATGTGTAGCTGAAAAAAATGCAATAACTTGTATTATAAACTTTATTACCTTTCTAGATTTTTAAAAATACAAATACAAGGCAGTTGTTGAGCACAGTGGTTTAAAAAAACAATTTGATCTTTACTATGAGATGATATTTCGCAACTGTAGTCAAAACTTACATATAATCATTCAATAGATGGGGTAATATCATACCAGCAGTTTCCTTAAACTCACTGGGGATAATAAGGGAGGAAGTTGCAGCATAAAATACAGCACACAGTTACTGGCATCTGCCTGTGTGTTTGTACAATGCCCTGTATGATGGGATTCCTATCTGCATATTACAAAAATACACACAAGAGACAAAATAAATTTATGAGCTTTGAAATGCAACTGAAATATTGAGATAATTGAAACCAAATAAAAAGATCTCCACGTGCTCAGATAACCCATTCTATTTCAACCATTACCAGTTGTCTCTGTGAGTTCATTTCGAATACAAACCCGTAATCTATTAAAACAACCTCCGAAGAAACGACTTTTTTGCTGGTGATGTTAACTTCATGGTTCCCTTTTTGCGCAGTGGTTTCATGGGTTGTTTCTTCAGGGGCACCACCTTTTTGGGAGTTTGTAGCCCTTTATTAAGGTCAATGTGCTCATTGCAGAAGTACTTGACATTTGCTTCTGAGAGATGCATAAGCATGGTCTCTGAGAGATCCATACATTGAGCATGGACCCAGTGGCCAGCCCCACTGGAACACAGGATCATTGCAGGCTTGTTGAGTTCTGTTGAATAGAAAGGGACCCAGGTGTTAATGTCAATATTGCAACTGGTGGAGCAGATGATCCAGTAGCCTGTTTCTGATTCATCTTCTTCATCATCTTCATTGTAAGTGTCAGTATCATCAACATCAAAGCTATTGGCTTCAGCACTGAAACAAAACTCTTCAGAATCTTCAAATGGAGTGGAGTCTCCAGGGTCTTCAGTAGATGTCTGACTGCTAATTTGTGCTGTCAGTTCTTCCTCCTTGTCCTCTTCTGCTCCCTTGCATCTCAAAATGTAGAAGTAGTTTGCATCTGAGATTAACTGTTTGTTGGCCCCTGGAATGCCCAGCAGTACAGATCCTTTGCCCATATCACTGCCAAACCACATCCTGCAGTGTTTAATATCTGGTGTCCAGTCTGGGCTCTCCCTTTCAACAATCTGTATATTACTGTCTTCCAGGACTATGGTGTTACATACCAACCGTTTCTGCTTGTCAGACTCGTAGCCCCCAACAAGGACAAATTCGGTATCACTGGTTTGAGTCAATATAGCACTCGACACAGATATCCCCCCTGCCAAGATGGTGCAGGTCACGGCTGGGCTGCCCAGCGGGAGATCAACTTTTAGCTTGTACAAGCTGGGGGACCTGGTGTTATTTTGAAGTGAATGGCCTCCCAGAATGTAGATTGTATCATTTCTGGCAACTGAAACGTGGAAAGCAAGTCCATCCTGAAGCTCTGGAAGTATGTATGATGTACAGCATCCAAACTCGAAATCAATGAGAAACACAGATGGCAAACAGTCAACTACACTATTCCATTTTTCAGTGGTTCTTTGTGCAAGAGGGGTATATGATCTCCCTCCAAATATAGCGCTCATGCTTTTTCCACGGCTATGAACTACGTTAATTGTATGTCCATATCTAGCTTCAGGAACATCTCCACCCAGGTCTTTCTCAATGCATTGAAATGTGGTTTTCTTGCTATTTTTGCTTATCAGACTCATAATATAAATCTTATCTGAAAGGTCATTGTTAGGCGTTTTTCCACCATGGATGATATACTGGTACTCATCAGACTGCGCATTGCCTCTGAGTGTGCAAAGGGCAGGGTAGCGGAGAGGGGGCAGGTAACAGGAGTCATTAGAGAAGAAGGCAGGTTTCATTTTGAGCTCATTCTCCTTTATATCGAGGAGGAAAACACCAGTGGGACAGGACCTCTTCGGCCATCCTTTCTGCCCAAAAAGGAAGGTGTGCCCATCAAAATTGAGGAGAGAGAAGCCTGGCTGAAGCAGCGATGAATTACTGACAGCTGATACCACCTCCAGTGACATTTTGTCTGCTGACTGGGCCATACTGGGGTCAGTAGCTGAAGAAAATAAACACGAAGAAACAGATTAAATATGCTTTAGACACTGCTGTAAGAGTTGTTCAGCAGTGCTTGAACACTGTTTAAGTTGCATTTCAGTTCACACTTTGAGACCCTAAAAGACACCCTTTTGTACGATTCAGGGCATGAATCAAGCGTGAGACGCGTGCCAGTTCCACTGGATTTTGTACAAACTAAGGTCTGTTGACCTCTAAAATCCTAACGCCGCGGTGCCTGCGGCCTCCGGGCCCGCCCTGCAGCTCCGGGACGGAGAAACGCC